TGTAAAATCCAGCTGTGTCTTGGTGATGCAACAAGTTTCCCTCCCATAAGAATACGAAGGCAACCCCCAAGACCTAAGTGTAGGGAGAAGTCTGCCTTCTGTCCTTCAGACAGTTCAGCTCACCTCAAAGAGATGTGGGACAAAAGGGACCGTCGTCATAGTTCCAGACTGGCTTGACAGATGATCCATCCACGCCTCCTCCCCTGGTCCTCTTCCCTAGGTTGGAAGGCTCGTTGACCCGGCCTCCCTCCTGCTACTGCCTCTCTCCTCTCTGTTCCCATGGGTTGCTGAGATGCATGCCCAGTGCATTTCATCCAAAGGGGGCCAGATCCAGATTAGAACACTGCTTCTTCACTGGTCCTCAAACTCAAAAATCTCAAGAAGTTATTCCATTCATCCTTCTCCCCCTGCTGTCTCCCTCATCACTTTTCTGCCCCACTCCCATTCTCTAAAGAAGTACCACCTTATCCCTACTCCCCTCCCTTTCTTATTCTTTATATTCACTGTCCACTTACCTTTCTAAGCCTACCCTTCTTTCTTGGCAAAATGGGGCTGATGCGGGTTCCTATTGCCCAGAGTTGTTGGAGGATTGGGAGTTGAAACGAAAACTACATGCCAAGTGTCAAGCATAGTGCCCTGCACACAGCAAGTGCATGATAAATGCTGATTGTTATGCTGATGAGGCCAGAGAGGAAGGGACTGGTAAGCAGGACTACTTGTCACAAGGAAGCCCGTGAGTGAGCCACTTTCCAGGACCAAGGGTTCCCTGGAGCTGCCAGTGATGGCACTGCCTGGGGTACCAGGAAGGAGAGGAGGCAATTATACTGTGTGGAACAAAAATAATTTCATTTCTAATGTCTTTCTCCTGCTGGGCCTCTTAGAACCCAAACAATAACAATGAGGTGGGGGGGCGGGGAATGAGAAGGGCAGGCCTGTCCTGAAGGAGCCCAGTGACAAAGGAATGAGCCCCAGGACTTGCTTGGCTCCCAGACACTACATGGGAGTATGGTTGAGGCCACAGCTGCAGTTCTGTGCCGAGCGGCAGTTCCCTGGAAAGATGGACTCCGAGGTTATCTGCAGGGTTGTTGATGGGGCCCCTGGGAGCCCAGTCTGACTAACTTCCCTAGCCATCCTCTGTCTGGGAACAAGCTCAGAGACCTCCAGGGAAAGCCAGGTGTCCTTCCTCCTACCTCTCCCTGTCCCTGAAGACAGCAAAGAGTTTTTTTGTCTCCTCCTAGAAAAAGTAAAAGATCCTTGCAGGTGCCATCAGATAATGACAAAATTGCCCAAACTGCACTAAGCTGATGCTCCTCTACAATGCATATTTAATACCAGCCTCTTCCATGGGCTCCTGAGGTCTGCTTCTCTTCCCCTCTCACCTCCACACACTGCCCCATACTCTCCCAAAGGCCCCCAGCTGCCTCCAGGCCTGTGAGTTTGGAACACTACAGCAGCATGGCCTCTTCTATCCAGGGGAGGAAGGAGTCCCCAGGCCCCAGTGCGTCATCTCTGACTCCTCCCTATACACCGGAGCCAGCAGGGGCCCCGGCACCCCTGCAGAGAAACATTCCCATGCATCCTAGAAAGAGAAGAGGCTTCACCCTCCAGGGGCATCCTGGCTGCCAAGGGTATGGACGTACCCACTTAACAGATTAAGGTGAAAGGAACAAGAAGAGAGAAATGTGCAGTTCAGCAGGCATGTTCCTCTCCTTTCTCTAGACCCAAACTAAAGCAAAGCAAGTGGCTGAGTTCTGTGGTTTTATTACTCTACTAATCCCCATGTACTGACAATATAATCAAGCTATTTCCCCAAACCTATGCGCTTAGACAATATGATTCTATTGCTAAGAAAATAACAACAAAATCTTCAATTATATTGGGGTAGGAACAGGTGAGAGTCAGGGGTATAATACTGGATTTCAACAATATTTGAGTAATTTAAAAGGCTGGAAATAATATCAGTCTACCACTCAAAGTTGGTAAGTAAGCAATTTGCACATCCTTAGTAGCTTGTTTTGTATGCTGGAATGCTGGAGGGCTTCTATATAATCCTAAATCCAAACCTTGGATTCCTCCCTGGACCATACAATGCCATATTGGAGGTGGGGGGAGGGGAGATGGTGCAGGAGTTCCCCCAAGTAAGAGGTGGCCACCTACAAAGCGGGAGGGCCTGCTGAGAAGCAGAGCCAAGCTGTATCCTTTCTGCTGCCCATGGTTTCCAAGTGTTTTTTATATGCAGGAGGTTCCTCTGCTAAGCAGAGCTCCTGGCAGGATGGAGAAGCTTTGGTTGTTGAGTCCTATCCTGGTTCCCAAAAACTAGAAAGTTTACACCAATTCTTTATAGGAGAGCTTGAATAACAGGAGAAAGATTACCACATTTCTAGACTAAGGAAGCAGTTGCCCTGTGTGGAATCAAAGGCATTTAGGATGACCTTGGAGGAACTCAAATAATCCAAGGACCTAAAGTTCTGTAAACTATGCAAATGACTAGGTTGCTGCTGTTCAAAGTTCTTTGTAGACCTCAAATCTAAGGTTATGATGAGCTGCTGATATACAACCTCATTCTGGGAGAGACTGTAAATATGGTTCTGGGTACTGGTATTATAAAACCTCAACTTTGACTCTTCTCCCCCTTCCCAGGTGCTGAAACACCTTCATGGCTGGAGATTTGTAGGTATTAAGCCACAAAGGAGGGAGAAGTGGGGAGTGGCCAGGCAGAAAATATGAGTCATTAGAAGGGGCAGGGTTGGTTAAAGGAGGACTCATCATACCTGTCTCTCCTGGGCTATCCATGCACACACATATACACACACAGTGCTCTCTTCACAGCTATGCTTCTTCCTTAACCCCAAAATGCAGCTCTCACCTGCAGGGAAGCTGGAGACAGGACAGCTCTCTCCAGGCAGAATCCACAGGTCTTTCCCCTTACACTTGTTTATGCAGAGAACTGTGACCTCTCGGACCAGTCTGACTTCAGCAGGGCAATCTCAGGAGTATAATAGATCGTATTTCTGATGAGACCCCAAGTTCCCCTTTGGTTCCCATAGTCTAACAGGAGGAACAGAAGGGTTTCTCTCAATGTCAGGTTCTCCTACATCATTCTCCAGATTCTAACAGCACATTCTAGGCAGAAATAATCCAACCTTGCAGGTGACGGTAGAAGACTGACTAGCCCACAAGCATCGTGACTGGCCTTTTCACCCCTACAAGCCTCCTTGCTTATGGAGCACAAGAGCCAAATCAATACAGCTAATATGTCACTGCCAGCAGGGCATGGGTGGCTACCAGCCTTGGGGAGCATGACGTGCTACTAGACTGAACTAATCACTCCTTGGCATTTCAGGAGCAGTTAGGTTAACAGATCACAGCACATGCATAATGAAAGACAATAACTCACCCAGAGGGGAGGGGAGGGGAGGAGGAACACACTGAGCTGGTCCACACAGGGGGGCAGTTAGTATTTACAGAAGTCAACCTGAAGCCATATTGGTGATTCCCAAAGGGATCTAAATTCTCTTTGAGAAAGAAGAAACACCCAGGATTCTGGGGGAGAGGAGATTGGGTTGCACCCTTAATTGCAGCACAGGGATTGAGTCAGGGAGATGGTCCTTCCACCCACAGTCCCACACTTGAAGAATGTAGCAGGTACAACTTCAGGAGACACAGGGAGAGATTGAAGACCCTGCTTCTATAAATTTAAAATTTATGAGATTTAGGAATATTTCAGCTATCAGCAAATGGTTGCCAAAGCATGTGATTCTTTTAACACTTAAAAATGCATGTTTAACATTTTCAAAGGATTTTCTCTGCTAGAATACCTGCTACCAAGTTTATGTGAAATAAACTTGCTTTTAAGTTTCGAGGTAAAATAAAATAAGTGTATACAGACTCTCTAAGAAGTCTCAATTTTTTGAGAGGTGATTTCCTAATTCAACATACATATGAATCACCCAGAAATACTGTTAAAATATAAATTTCTGGGCCTCAGCTTAAGAGTCTCATTCAGCAGTTTTCAGGGAAGATGCAAAAAACATGCATTTTTAACCAGCTTCTCAGGGAGTTCATTAAAAAAGAATGAAAGAAAGAAAACCCTAGAGAAATGCTGTCTGGGCCTCTATAACAAGCCAGAATCTCTCCATTTTCCATCACCTTTCACCCTCTGTGCAGGGAAGGCAGAGGGAACTCAGGGTGTTCTTTTTTAAAATTTTTATTTTATTTTAAAGATGTGGGGCACAATTCAGGATTATGTATACAAGTTGTCTTCATACAGGTAAAGTTTGGGCCTATCTTTGGTCCCCACTTTCCCTGGTTTCAGGTACCCTTATTAATGTCATGTGCCCCCCCCCCACCCCAGGCTGTTTCCAGCTACTGCCAATCTCAGGGTGTTCTTTAAGAGACCAAGGCTGGGACAACCCTTGCCCTCATCTGGCTCCAGACCTAACCCTCCCAACCCTCTCCCCTGTCAGATGTCTGAGTGCAGAGATGGCATCAAAACCCCTGGAAACAAAAACGCAGGGAATTTTCAACATGATGAGGGAAATCTAAGGCAAGGTCTGGGACCCAGGAAACCAGCTTGCTGATTCTCTTGAAATTAGTCACACTGACCGTGGTCTTGCTCTCTCTCTGCCCACCCTCATCAAACAACAGCAGGGGAAAATATGTATGTAGTCCTAATGCTGCAGGATAAATCAGGGATAAGTACGAGTCCTCGCATCTTGGGGGTGGGGGAACCTGGGGTGGAGAATCAAAACACCTAGTTCCTTAGGGAGGAGCAAGGATGAGCCTAAAAGGTTGTAGCCTGGTGGAAATCCAGAAACGTTTGGACCTGCACAAGGATCTGGAAAGAACCCACAAAGTGCTTTGCGCCTCACCCGACCCTGGAACCAAGAACACAAAGTAGTGGGGTGCCCGGTGGGGCAGTGCGACTTGCTCAGGCAGCCTGCCTGTGGCTGACAGCAAGGGCCTGTCCCCAGGGAGCTGCACTGCTATGACTCGTGTCCATGGCGAAGCCTGTTGTGTGGACGCGCACGCACCCTCTTACCTCTGCTCTTCAAGAGGAAGCACTCACAGGGTCCCCGCCACAGACAGGGAGGGGGAAGCGCGCCGTCTGGCGAAGAGAGCTGCCTCTGGCCCCCGCACACCGCCCCAGCGGGGCCCTTGGTCCATTCCAGAGCCGGACAGTCCCGCTCCGCGACTGCCCCCACTGCCACCCGCACGCCCAGGTCGGGACGGACCTGCAGCCTCGGCCTCCTTGCCCGCGTAGGTCTCGACCCCAGAGAAGGCGCCGGAGCACGAGCCTTCAGGACCAAGGACAGCGGCGACCCCGGGAGTGGGAGACGAGAGCCAAAGCCGCCTCTCCCCCATCCTTGGCTTCTGCTCTTAGAAACCGGAAAGTCTCGGGTCACACAC